TCTATCTGGCCTCTCCTACTTCAGCTTTAAGGCGGTGTTAGAGTCTGTAAACAAGTCTGGATGGCGCCTGGCATTTTGCCAGGGGGAGTGGTTAATGTTAAGGTCTGTAAACAAGTCTGGATGGTGCCTGGCATTTTGCCAGAGGGAGTGGTTTGTGAAGTAACTCCAGCGAGCCATTAAGTGTGGAGATTCCTTATTGGTTGGCTGCTGTATCTAGTTTATGTTAATGCCATTAAGTGTGGAGATTCCTTATTGGTTGACTGCTGTATCTAGTTTATGTTAATTAGATAAGCTGTGTGGAATGTATAAATACCTCTGTTGTCCTACAATAAATGGCTCCCTCTCCTGCTGTATCAATGTACACAAGTGGTTCGTCACCCCCCCCACACACACACCGGCTAGTTTGCTGCAGCCGGACTGCGGCAAGGGGGCTTCCTTATGTGATGGCAAAGTATTGCAAAAGAGCAAACTCCAGTGTGAAAGAGTTTATCAACCCTCTGCTTGTGTCACATTTGCTGATGGCCCATTGGTTAAAACAAACCTCCTTGTCAAGCCCGGCATTAATGTGACAGTGGCATAGCCACTTAGAAGTGATTCATTTGGGGTCACTAACGTAACAATCTATAATAAGAACACTTTTCTTTTTTGGGTAGGCCAAAGAGAATTTCAGCAAGAGAGTTTAGGTCTCCCATTAGATGTTATCAAAACCTAATTAGACCAGGCACAGTGCACACACCTGGGATTTCAGCAAGTTGGGATGCTGAGGCAGGAGCATCACAAGTTCAAGGCCAGTCTTTTGACAATTTAGCAAGACCCTGTCTCAAATAAAAAATAAAAGGACTGGGGAGGTAGCTCATTGATAGAGTACTCCGGGGTTCAATTCTCAGCACCATTAATTAATTAATTAATTAATTAATTAATACTTAGGGGAACAGAACAAGCATAAACCATTACCTAGTTCTTGGTATATCCGTGTTTGTGTGTGTGTGTGTGTGTGTGTGTGTGTGATTTTTTCTTTAATATTAATAAAAATACATCCCCATTGTTTCGGAACTTTGAACTTCAAGAACAAAGGTCTAGGCTAGATACAGTGCATAATTCCAGTTCCATGGGAGGCTGAGGTAGGAGGATTGCTTGAGCCTGGGAGTTTGAGACCAGACTGGGCAACACAGTGTGACCCTGTCTCAAGAAAAATAAGTAAATAAATAAAAATAAAAATAAAGGTATAGGGCTGGGGTTGTGGCTCAGAGGTAGAGCGCTCGCCTAGCATGCATGAGGCACTGGGTTTGATCCTCAGCACCACATAAAGTAAAATAAAGACATTGTGTCCACCTATAACTAACTAACTACATAACTAAATAAAGATACAAAGACCAGATAGTGTTAGTAAGATCCATATTCTTCATGGTGACCTAAAAGCCTTGTTTGAACTTATTTATGGCCATGATGCTGACCCATGCATTCTCAACAGGTGACAATAGCACCCCATGGAGGTGACAAATGGCTCTAGAGGGGATGAGATAAAAAAAATTCTGGCTCATTCTAATGTATAAAGGACATAGAGTAGATGTATCTATGCAATGAACATTTCGTGGAGGGAGGGGATAATTAGGGGAAAAGTCTAAATAAAGGTTGAGAAATGAACCTAACTGTTCTCCTCCTAAGGGCACAGTTTTTATTGTATGACACTGGCCTGTGAAAGAAATATTCTACAATCTGTACTGCCTAATTTGGTCAAATATATGGCTATTAAAATACTGAAATGTGGCAAGTGTAAATGAGGGAGCAGATTTCTCATTTTATTTTTGTTTTAATTAGTTACACATGACAGTACAATGACCTTGACATATCATACGTTAGATTTTTCATTTTAAACTTAAAAAGTTTCAACAACAGCCCACGTGGTTAGTAGCTGCCATGTTAGACAACACGCTCTGTCCATACTGATGAAGGTCTTTTGGACTTAAGGACATCAAATTCTTTACACATTTTATCTGTATCCATTAGGATACTTTTGCTACAAATAACAAAAATTCAGAGTGGCTTAAAGAGAAGATACAGACAGCCCCAACTTACAACAGTTCAAGTTAACTGGACTTTTACAGTGGCGTGAAAGCAATACCCATTCAGTAGAACTGGACTTGGAATTCGGTACAATCCTCTCTTGTGATGCTGGGCAGTGGCATCAAGCAACAGCTCCCAGCCAGCCACGTAATCATGAAGGTAAACACCAATATTTTAAAGCGAACTATGTTGCCAGCATTTTTTGGATGTTGTGTTTTAGCCTCTGTTATGGTTTGGATATGAGATTTTTCTCTAAAAAGTTCCTGTGTTAAGGAATTCAGGAATGTTCCAAGGTGAAGTGATGTAATTGTGTGAGCTATAATATCATCAGAGGATTAATCCATTTGATGGGTTAATCATTTTTCTCATATTTTTATTGGTGTATCTAAATTATACATAGTAGTGCAATTCATTGTTACATATTTATATATGCACATAATATAACCATATAATTTGATCAATATTGGTTCCCCGGTACCTCCCTTTCCCTACTCCCTCACTCCCCTGTCCCTTTTCTTTACTCTAAAACTGATCTGCCTTAGATTTTCATGAGCTACTCCCTTCACCTTTCTTTTCCTTTTTTCCCTCTGTTTTATATATGAAAGAAAACATGGCCCTTAACCTTCTGTTTGACTTATTTCACTTAACATAATGCTCTCAAGTTCCATCCATTTTCCTGCAGATGACATAATTCCATTCTTTATGACTGAATAACACTTCATTGTGTATATATGCCATATTTTCTTTAGATGGACTAGTAATTTGAATGGATTTCCAGGAGGTTACTGTAGACAGGTGGGAGCAAGTCACTGGGGTGTGCCCTCAGGGATTAGATCTTGCCCTTGGATCCTGCACATCTGGCTTCCCAGCTGCCATGGGCTGAGCAACTTTCCTCCCCATGCCATTCTGCCATGATGCTCTGCCTTACTCAGGCCCACAGCAATGGAGCTGGCCAACCATGCACTGAACCTCTGAAACCATGAGCCCAAAATAAACATTTCCTCTTTTAAGTTGCTCTGGTCAGATGAAATCAGTCAGAGCAATGAAAAGCTAACACAGCTTCCCATCATATCTTCAAAATGCCCATCTGTGTGTATACACAACTATTGGACTATTATAAAATGGGCTTTGTGATAGACAATTTTACCCTGCTATAAGCCAAGTGTTCTGAGAATGTCTAAGGTAGGATAGGCTAAGCTATGATGTTCAATAGGGTCATTGTGCTAAATACATTTCTGACTTAGTTTTTCTTTTTTAATGGACAGGATTTGTGGTGGCACAATCTCCACTGGAAGTCAAGGAATATCTGTAAATTATACACAACAAGTTCCAAGCAGAGAGACACTAGGGTTGGCTAATCAACAGCACAAGGCCATTATTATGAACATAGATGTCATCACCGTCCTAAGTATACCAGCACTACCTTCAGGTTGTACCCTAATGGTTATAAGATGGCTGCAGCTGGGCCAGTTATCACATCTAAATCTGATGCTCAGAAAGAGATAGAAGCTGCCTCTTGTTTTTCCTTTTTAAAAATGAGGAAAATTTGTCCTCAGAGCTCATGGCAGGTTTTATCCTGTTTCCACCTAAACAAAGGTCTTATAAGAGGAACAGGATCACTACCCATGGCTCAGACTTTGCAAGAGCCACTGCCTGGAGATGGACCTGGTGCTGGTCCCTAAAACACACAGCTGGAGAGGGGGAGTGGGTGCCTAAACAAATCAGGGCCCTTGTGCTGGGAGGGGAGTGAGAGGAATTCTTTACCCTTGGTTCCAGGCAGAACTAAACTGAAGTGGTTAGGAAAGTTCCTGAGCTGGTAGCTTTTAGAGGTGGTATCTGTACCACCACCAGAAGTTTTACCTAGCAACTTCTTAGAGAATTCAAAATTTTCAGGACTGATATGGTTTGAAGTATCCCTAAAGACTCGTGTTGAAGGCTTGGTCCCCAGTATAGCAATGTTCAGAGCCAGGGCTTTTAGGAAATGATTGATTGGATCCTGAGACTCTAACCTCATCAGTGGATTAATCCATTTGGTGGATCAATAACTTGGATAATTATTTTGAAGTGGTAGATGTTGGAGGTAGGACCTAGTTGGAGGAAGTAGGTCACTGGGGCTGTACCCTGGAAGGGTATACTTTGTCCCCTGCCCCTCCCTCTCCTACCTCTCTGAGCTGAGCTGCTTTCTTCTGCCTTGATGTCCTCTAGCCCAGAACAATGGAGCCAGCCAACAATGGACTGAAACCATGAGCCAAGAACACTTTTCCTCCTCCATTTTGTTCAGGTGTTTGTCGCAGCAATGAGAAGCTAACTAACACAGAGTTCCACCCTAGACCTACTGAAGCAGACTGGGGATAGTATACAAGAATTTGAATCTAAAAAAGCCTTACAGGTGACTCTGACAGACCTCACAATTGGAAAAACATTGCCCTTTCCTAGTGGTTCTAAATCAGGGCAATTTTGTTTCTGGAGACATTTGACAATATCCAGAGATATCTGTGTTGTCCCAAGTGGGGTGCAAGGGTGCTGCAGGCATCTAGTGGTAGAGGGCAGGACAATGCACAAGGCAGTCCCCCTAGCAGAGAAGTGTCCAGGACAAAGTGGCAACAGGACTGAGGTTGAGAAGCCCTGCCCCGGGGAGAGGTAGTGCCTTCAGCCCAGGCGCAGACCAGCAGGCCTTCCATTCTGGATTCAGGTCTTGAGCCTAGTTGGTACAAGACTTAGCATCTGTTAAACACCTCCAGAGTAGAAGGGATCTCGAATTCCCTTTGCCCATAGATCAACTCTCCTTCTACAGCATATACCTTCTGGCCTTCAGGTCAGCCACCTCAGTCCAAGGGATCTCCATGCAAGGTAAAGCAATAAAACAGGACACAATGCTCAACTTCAGGACAAAAGAAAACACATCGTTTTAAATAAGGAGCACAGTCAAGACTCACTGAAGTTTCTGCACTGGCTTTTATTTATTTATTTTTCAGAACTGGCTTTTACAAAGGCCTAATTATTTCCTCTTAGAAAATCAACAGTCTGAAAAAGGCAAATTTTTTTCCATGCTTAGGAATCTTTCTGTTCAGTTGAGACAAGTTCATGTCCACTGTCTTCCACCGTCACACCAGCTTTCTTACAGAGCACCCAAGGGTCAGTGGAAAACAAACATCTAGTTCTAATTGACATTTTCTAGACAAGATACAAATGAGAAACCTTGCATGAAAATTTAATGTTACAGAAAGTCCACAAAACAGAGTAGCTAATGTCACCATCAGTTAAATTTAAGCCCAACTTATATTAAACCTGTTTTCCTGTGTCTTGGAGAACAACTTGTTCTACCAAGATAGTCATAGCATCTCTTCTGGCATTTATTTAAAGTAACACACTTCCAGGAATGGAGGTGCTGATGAGTAAGTGTACCTCATAATCCATCATATCAATAACATTGAGGTACTGTAAGTTTTTATTTACATCCAGAATCCAGAACATTCATGGAAGATTTTTTTTCCTATAAAAACAAAAACAAATGCAGTTAATGTGGATAGATACTAAACACCTTGCTTCACTCTGGGGTCTCATCTGGGATGTCCGAGTAGACTGTATCCAGAGGCTGCCAGTGACAATTCATGAGGGAATCATAGAGTTCTTCACTTCTCAACATAAACTCCTTGTTTAATTCTTCAATATTCAAATGAAGATGTGAATCTGCAAGAAGACAATAATAGACACGAAGAAAATAGAGTTTTACAGAACACGTACTGGAAATGGCTGGAAACTAGAGAGTTTGTAAAAAGCACAAGCAGGAAGAATTACACTAAAGGTTGACTTTTTAAAATTCGGTGTGATCTTTCAGTAAGACGTGAAGATAGAAACTTAAGTTATAGAAGCAACAATATCATCAAACTCAACATAAGTGGTGGAGGAGAAAAATGGAGATTCAAGTGATATTCTAGAGATGAATTCCATTCGGGGAAACAGGGAAAGAGAAGGTCACGGGTAAACCCCGAGTTCCTGGACTAAGCACCTGGGTGGACAGTGAGCCAAACCGAGGGTTCCTAGGATCCTGCTTTGAGAAAATAAACATGCCACTTTATCTGCTTATTTCACAGATGAAGTGAATAAATTTTGTATAGTAACTAATTCAAAAGCAAACGAAGACTTGGGATGGCATGGTGTTACCACGAAGGCATTAGATCTGGGTTTGCCGTCCAGATTGTCAGATTTCCAAAGGTATCTAAGACTTTCAATGTTACAGATTTTTTTTTTTAACATTATCCTTGTTTTATTTTTTTGTCCTTGTACTAAATGTAACTAAAGAAGCCCTTTCTGTTTTAAAGTCTAAATGCATTCCAGGACTTATCCTTTGTATGCCTGATAGGGACTGAATGCCTGTGTCCCCACTTCCTCCCAAATTCATATATTGAAGATTTAATCCTTGATATGGTAGAATTTGGAGATGGGGCCTTGGAGATATAATTAGCATTTGGTCAGGTCATAAGAGTAGAATCCTGGTCTAGTGCCTATAGTGCCTTTATATGAAAAGACACCAGAGAGCCTGCACAAAGCAGAAGTCATGTGAGGACAGTAAGAGGACTGTCACCTGAAAGCCAGAAGAGAGTCCTCACCAGAAACCAAACTGGCCAGCACCTGGACTTCCAGTTTGGAGAGCCGTGAGAGAGTGAACTTCTGTTGGTTAAGCCACCAGCCTAGAGCTGTCCTCAGCTGTAATGCAGCACCCTGAGTTATTAATCATTTTATGACAGAGATCATCAAATAGGCATTGGTGGCTGTGTTGTCTGATTCTTGATTTTGGGAGCTTCCTAACATTTTTGAGTCAGGTAACCTTTGAGAGTTTCTAGTTGTGAAATTATGTTTCTATTTTTAACACCTGAACTTTCTGAAATTTTCTTTCTAAAAGTCATGCCTTAGGTTCCATCCTTCAGGTTAAAGGCACTTCTCTCTCCCTCACTCCCTCCCTGTCCCCACCCTCTTCCTCTCTCCCTCTCTCCCTCCCTCGCTCCTATAACCTGTGGACAAGAAAACAGACACAGTGTGGTCAGCTACAAACCCCATATTCTGTGGTCTAGGTGTTGGCCACAGCTCTAACAGAAGTCTATGAAAGCAAACTGCTTACATCTTCCCTAAACCCGTGGGCCTTCTAGACCTATGCTGCTGTGAGGGGGGTGGGAAGTAAAAAAAATTCCCTCTACTTCTGAGAATTTGATAATTGAATCTATGAAGGAAAACACAGTAGGCAGATTAACAGGAGAAAAAGCATACAAACTGATCACATGCATGTGTGGGGCATCATATCAAAGAAAAGTGAATATCTAAAAACACAGTGAGATCTAGAAGCTTTTTTATACTTTTTTTTTTTTTTTGCTGGAGATTGAACCCAGGGGCACTTAACCACTGAGCCATATCACCAGCCCTTTTTTATATTTTATTTTAAGACAGGGTCTTGCTGAGTTGCTTAGTGCCTCACTAAATTACTGAGGCTGGCTTTGAACTCATGATCTTCCTGCCTCAGCCTCCCAAGCTGCTGGGATTACAGGCATGCACCATCTCACCCATCTATATACCTTCTTTATAGGGGAGAAAAAAGGAAGTAGACAACTTAGAGGAAAGTAAATAATTACTGGGAAAGATAAATGGGCCCTTAGAAGAATGTCTGGGTATGGTGTCTATCTTCAGCCTCCCTTCCTGTGATGTAGGTAAGCTTCTTTGGTTGATCAAATTCCTGGGGAGGAATTTCCTTTGGAGGATCTGTCCCCAAGCAGATAAAGGAAGTTCAAAGAAAGCCTTTCCCTGCACCTGCTGCTCCCCAGGTGCCCTTGGCTTGAAGTAACCAGCTCAACAAAGCAGCATATTTGCCAAACTCCTTCACTGTTCAACACAATAGCCACTAACAACAGGTGGCTACGGAATAAGGGACACAGCTATCCATGCATGGGATATGAGGATAAAATATACACCTCATTGAAAGATGATAGTTTCCAGGGGTTAGGCGAAGGAGGAAAGAGAGATTATCACTGGATTTGCTTTCAGTTTTACAAGATGATGAGAGTTCTAAAGATGGAAAGTAGTAATGGTTGCACAAGATAATGAATCCACTTAATGCTTAAGAATGTTTAAGGTGAAAAATGTAATATTATGTGTGTTTTACCACTATAAAAAATTGGAAAAAAATATATTACATTTCAAAGACTTGGCAGAAAAATGTAAAAGTCTCCTTAATTCTTTGTATTTTGACTACACATTGAAATAATATTTGGGATATTATCCTACTCAGTTTGAGCTGCTATAAAAGAACCATAAATATGGATGACTGATTTCTCGCAGTTCTGGAGACTGGAAGCCAAGATCAGGGTGCCAGAAGGGTCAGGTTATGGAGAGGGTCCTCTTCTCAGTGGCAGACTGCCAAGATGTCATTTCCTCCCATGGTGGAGAGCAAAGAGCAAGGAACCAGGCTCACTAGTGACTCTTATAGGGGCACTAACCTCATGACCCCATCCAAACCTAACCACCCCTAGAAGGCACCATCACATGGAGGGTTAGGGGTCCCTATAATAATTGGGAGGAGAGACACAAACATTCATTCCATGACATAGTTAAGTAAAAGAAATATTATTAAACTGGGTGTGGTGGCACACATTTAGAATTCCAGCAATTTGGGAGGGTGATGCAGGAAGATGGCAAGTTCGAGGACAGCCTCTGCAACTTCACAAGACCCTGTCTCAAGTAAAAAAAGTTTTTTTAAAAAAAGACTGGGGACACAGCTGGGTGGTAGAGTACCCCTGAATTCAATCCCAAATAACAAAAGGAAAGAATAAAAAAGAAATATTATTAATTCTACCTGTCTCTTTAGTGTTCTTAAAAGTTCTAGGAAATTTTAAATTATCTATCTGGATGGCTTGATGTTTTGTGTTACATTTCTACTGAGGTAGAATAAGAAACAGGTATAAAGGAGACATAAAGGAAGGACAAGAAAATAGGATGTTTTAAAATATTTTTTTAGTTGTACATGGACACAACACCTTTATTTTGTTTATTAAATTTTATGTGGTGCTGAGTAGTTAACCCAGTGCCTCACATGTGCTAGGCAAGTGCCAACCTCAGCCCCAAATAGGATTTTAATTCAGAAGTTCCACGTGGTTTCCTAGGCTCACTTCCTAAGCCAGTTTCTCTTACAGTTCTGTTATTCCCAAATTTCTGTGAAATCTGTAAATCTATCTTGGCATTGTTAATTAACCCTCCAATAGATAGATGTGACATCTTGAGGAACCTATAACTTAGGGAACTTTTCAGTAATATCTTTTGATCCGATAACAAAGACCACTTCAGCCTGGGGACCCTGAGAACCTGTCTTGAGATCACTGGACTAATATCACTCCCACATACCTTTCCATACCTACTCCTCATCAAGTTTCCTTTAAAGAACAGCTGGGAACCCCCAAAACCTCTCCTCTTTCTTGAAATAGCCCACAATCTCACTTGAACATATATTCCTTGCTTTAACCCAAAGGTCTTTCTCTCTCTTGACATTGCCCTTATTCTCTCTTAATTATATGTATCTGCTTTCCTAAAAAAACCTCTGTCTATGCCTTTGACTGGCACTTGCTGAAATGTTTTTCCATCAACTATGACAAGAACACTGCTATTTCTGAGTTGAGCTCTACCTTGTTTCTGAGAACTCTTTGGACCTTTCTTTAGAGACATTTCTTTTTTTTTTTTTTTTTTATGTCATCACTGAGCCATGCTACTTCAGATCTATGACTAGCTAACAGTTGGTCATTAGGTGCCAGCTTCTGCTAAGACACTTAAGAGCGATTTAGATATCACACATAGTGCACACCTATAATCCCAGCTGCTCAGGATGCTGAGGCAGGAGGATGGAGAGGTTAAAGCCAGCCTCAGCAATTTAGTGAGGCCCTAGATAACTTAATGAGACTCTGTCTCAAAATAAAAAATAAAAAGAACTAGGGATGTGGCTCAGTGGTTAAGTACCCCTGGGTTCAATCTCTGGTACAAAAAAAAAAGAAACCACACTTAGCTACCCTATGAGAGGGGTATGAATGTCCCTGCTTTAAAGTAGGGGAAACCCATACACTGGAGATTTGGGGGGATTACAGAGCTAATCAGTGGGATCTGAGTCCTGGCATTGTGGATTCAGAAAGCTCACTCTTCCTATAAGCTCTTCTGCTATTATTTTTAATGTCTGCATAGCTAACGAAGGCATGGAGAAAAGCTCATACTTTAACCCCAAAGAAACCCCCAGCAAGCTAAATAAGTAAATATGTAAATTAAAGTACTAAAAACTAGAACTGCCCAATAGCATGTAAAGATTTATTTTAAACAACTATTTCCTGTCCTTAAAATAAGTACTTTGAGTACCTACTCATCTGAAAATTCTGTTTGCTCCCATCTTTGATGGGGATCACAAAGGCAGTGTGTGGGTTTGTCAGGCAGCAGCTCATGTAGGAGAAAGGGACCAGAGAGACATGTGACAAGAATCGGGCAACAGCGTTCTCTGTATTTCTCCTCTATGTCTCTTTCCCATTACTTAAAATACAAGCAAAATATTTTCTTTCCTTCCTCAAAAGGGACATATTCAGAAAATTGGGTCCTTCCCTGAGTAGAAAAACTTTGTTCTTTTCAAAGTAGAACAACAGAAACCACCACCTGCCTGTCATTTTAGAACCACCTGTCATGCTCCATTTTATGCTGAGACTGGGTGATTTATAATAAACAGAAATGTATTTAGCTCATTTTCTGGTGACTGAAAAGTGCAGGATTGAGGGGCAGCGCCTGGCCAGGCTCTGCTTGCAGCATCATCCCATGGCAGAAGGACAACAGGTGACAAGGATTGGCTCATCCTTATGTCATGAATCCACTCCCACAGTAACTGCATCAACCCTTGCAGAATCCTCAAGATCCGGTCACCTCTTAAAGGGCCCACCTCCCAACACTGTTGCTTTTGAGTTTGGGTTGCCAATGCCTAAACTTTGGCAGACACCATTTGAACTCAGCAGAACGCAAAGTCTAAACGTATGGAGGGAACGGGTCTTAAACTACACACTGTTGTCTTAGTTTTTGGAAATGTCTCCATTCCCTCCATCCTTCAGAAACCCCCTCAGGGGTTGATCAGCTGACATTGATTCTATAGAAACAGATTCCCCAAACAGGACAAATTACTGAAGAGAAAGGCATCAGCAACTTGTGCTGGAATGTTCCAGGAAGATCTCAGTTTCCAGCAAGCTGAGTGGGTGAAGAAGCAAGAAACATGGTTAAGTTTTGTTTTCAATCATGGTGACACAAGGTTCACATTACCTTCTAGTGGGTCCTCATCTTGGTGTTCAGATGCAGCTGTGGTTTCCTACAAAGAAAAATGGGTATCTTAAGAAAAAAAGAAAATTATAAAGATTGAACATCAATACATGCTTTCTTGGGAAAAAAAATATTTAGCTCTCAAAAATAAAATTTAAAAGTCTAAGCTCCACTAAGCACATTTAGGTTGAATTTTGATCAGAAGAATCTTTAAATATTATAATACTACAATTATGAAATGAGTGAACTGAGCCAACAGAAGAAAAGTCACTAAGGAGGGACATGCCTAGCAGAGGCTTCTGGCCTGTCTGGAGCTTCTGAAAATTGACCTTTTAGGTCTTTGGCTGGATCCCTGGGCATCCTGACTTCTTATTCCTAAACTAGATGGCACTCTCTCCACCTGTACCCCGACTTTTGTTCCAAAACACAACCTGCAGTCTCCACAAACACATTTTCCTCATGACCCAGACCCATGGTTCAGCTAATTTTGGGGACATTAAAGTTTTCAAGGAAATGCAGAGGCTGCAGAAGAGCAGACCAATCAATCATGGTTTTTACCCAAGAGAAGTATATTCCAGAAGCACTCCTGAAGTCAATCTCTGTTGGTTAACTCAGACTCTACTGGCGCTTCTGGAGCAGCACACATGTTACTGACCCCTTCTACATACCTGCTGGGAACTTTCATTTTCAGGCATGTGCAACTATTCCAAGGAACTGTCCTAACCCAGAAATTAACTCCTGTAACAATGCTTAATGAAACCTCCCTTGCTAATAAGAAAAAGGTGATATTGAGAGCCAAAGATCTCTCTCTTCAGTGCATCTAAAAGTATGTCACCTCTTCACTCTGAAATATGTCTTGGTTTGGAAAATAAAAGATATAGTTATCATAAATCTAATCACATGATCTGTGTCTTTTTTCTATTTGGAAATGGCCAATATCACCAAAATCTGCTTAAAGGAGGTCTTTCCTAAAATATAAGGTCCAGGTCTCACATGTCCTCCTTTTCAATGTGTGCTCTGATAAACATGAATCCTAAATGGCCAGGGTGGGATAAGCAGAAACTACCTGGAGACAGAGCATTTTTCCCATCCAGGTCGTCCTTAAAGAAAAGTGCCTATATAAATGGTTGGAGGTAGCCTAGAGAAGTTGTGCTGATGGACCCCAAAGACCTGAGAATCATTCTGAACACATTATTTCCTCTGATCTTGGGCAAGTCACCATGTCAAAATGTAAAGGAGGGGCCTCTTTGGGGTGTTGGACTAACCCATGAATTTGGGGGGCTAAGGACCAGGCAGAACATGGTGGGGAATAAAATTATAGCATCTCGTGGAGAATACATGTCATCAGACAAGACCAAAATAAGGTCTTGGGAGTGAGAAACCCACCACAGAGCCTTCCAGCTTCCCCTTCAGGAATACCCACAAGGATGACTGGCAGATGGCAGTGTGGTAACTAGTCACTGACAGTATATTTATAATAATTAAAGGAACAAGTGCATTCTATAAGTAATAATTCAACTAGACAAAGGGATCAAAAAAATCCAGAAGGGGATCAAAAAACTCTAAAATGATTAGAAAAATGGAGGGAAGGGTTAGTAGGGTGAGGGAAAAAAAGGATGTTAATTTTTTTTAATGTTCTCATGATTGGAAGAGAAATTTTTTAAAACAATTTCTGAAGCTGATGATATACTCATACCCAGATCTCCCTATTTAAAGATACAAAGGTAACCACTAAGAGGAAAAGAAAGGAAGATGTGAAAGAAAGCACACTACACTTAAAGTTATGATTTTTGTTTTTTTGTAAAAAGTGACGCAATACTGAACATCTGCTAAAAAGGAGAAACCCAAACTGAGTTTAAAAAAAGAGATGAGAAATCTAAAGAGAAATTTTTACATAAGATGCGCCTAAAACAGACTAAAAACAAAATTGAAAATGAGAGTTTGGGCAAAAAAGATGCAAAGCAAATGTAAATTTTAGAAACCAAGGGTCTAGATAGATGTTAAATTCAATTTTGATGTTAAGGCCAAGGCCATCACCCAACCACCACAAACCCAGAAGGAAAGTCCATAACCTTTTGAGTGTAAAGTGTGAATTTCCCTAAGTAACTTATGCAATCAAGCAAAGGGGACACCCCTCAACCAGAAAAAGTAGAGAAAGGACAGCAACAAGGTCATGGGACACAGACACCAGTGAACATTACAAAAGATGTTTGCCCTGAACAGTAGGCCCTGCCTCCCTTGCCTGTGAGACTGGCTAATCATACACAGATCCAGGAGAAATAAGCACAGCCCACCACGGTAAGGGAAAGGGAAGGCTTTTTCATGGCTAATCTCCTGTTTAACATTTTGAATGTTATATCCTTTAGTCCAGCCCTTCCTCTTCCAGAGAAGTTATTCTTAGCGAAACAAAACATTCAGGAACATGTTTGAAGATAGGTTGAAGGAAATTTTTTGAAGCACTGAAAACATTTCAAAAGTCAGATAAAGGATGAGATAAAAACACAGAACATCTAAATGGGAGATTTTAGGGTTTTTTCTTGGTGCTGTAGATTGAACTGCATGCTAAGCACAAGCTCTACCACTGAGCTGTACCCCAGCCCCTCGATTGGGGATTTTTAGAAAATTTTAAAGAAAGCTCTCTGCAAACAACGTATAAACAGAAGCAAGAACCAAGCCATATGTATACTATATTCTTAACCAAAGCACCCCACCTGACCCCCCAAAAGAAACAGGGCCTAACCTCACTGATTCAGCAAGAGTAAAGGGGAAAGATCTAAAAGACTTAGATCTACTCCAACAGGGCTCCCCCCCCCCCCCCGAAGTGGAGGGAACGAAGAAGACGGAGGGTATGGAGGGTATGGAGAAGATTTTCCTTACTAGAAATATGTTACTCTAGCTGGGTAGAGTGGAGTATGCTTGTAATTCCAGCAGCTTAAGAGGCTGAGGCAAGAGGATTGTGAGTTCAAGACCAGCCTCAGCAATTTAGTGAGGCCCTAAGAAACTTAGTAAGACCGTGTCTCAAAATTTAAAATAGAAAGGGCTGGGGATGTGGTAAGTGGTGAAGTGCCCCTGAGTTCAATCCCTGGTACCAAAAAAAAAAAAAAAAAAAAAAAAATTATTCTAGTAATGGCAATATTAAAATGTTTCTAAAGGGTGCTCATATTTTCTGTTATAGTCAAACAAATCCCAAAGCTACTTCTTATCCTTGTTTAAATGTGAAAAGAGTAAAAATCTATTTGGGGATGATAATATACAATTTAGAGGGCTTGGGGTGTAGTTCAACGGTGGAGTACTTGCCTGGCATGTGCAAGGCCCTGGGTTCCAGCAACACACACACTTTAGTACCAAGAATTTAGGTCAAGAGTTCATAAGCTCATTATTTTGTTTCCAGAAAAGAGCTTTCTTTTCTCTTAAATCACTTGTAAGTCAAAATTTCTTAGGTTATGCATATGGCCAAATATATCAAATATATACAATTTGAGGAACATATACAGATCAACATGTGCAGAAGTTTTCAGGGACCTTTTATATCAATTATACCTCAATAAGCCTGTTAATTTCTTTCTCCTTAGGTCATCAGTTTTACTGTCTGGTATTAAAACAGAGAGCCAGTCAGGCACCATAGCATGTCTATAATTCCAGCAAATTGGGGAGGCTGAGGCAAGAGGATTGCAAATCTAAGGCCAGCCTCAGCAACTTAGCGAGACCCCATCCCAAAGTAAAAAAATAAAAAGAACTGGGGATGTAGCTCAGTGGTAAAGTGTCCCTGGGTTCAAGTTCAAGTCCTAGCACCAAAACCAAACCAAAACAGAACAAAACAAAAACAGAGAGCCAAAGTCATGGGTGTGAGACTTTGAGAGGACATGAATGTGTCAAGAAGGAAAAATGATGTTTACACCATTGCGCACACAAATGACAAGATCCATTTCAGGGAGAGTTACCTGAGGCATAAGTGAATTTCCAGCTGGGTGTTCAGAAATCTTGGGTGCAGGAAAAAGGCTGGGTCCATTCCCCCTCACTGCGCAGCTGTAGCTGTAGCAGGAAAGAGGATAAGAGAGCTGTGGCTGCTCATATCGGTCACCACTACGGTAACCCCGGCCAGTGTGGGATTCTGGCTGCCCACTCTAATAGCAGAGGAATGACAACCATGCCAACCTAGGCAGAATCACGCACAATGCCTTTTTCTTTCAAGGAAGTTTCAGGTAAGAATGATTCAATTGTTCAAAAACACTTAATGTTCAAAGCAATTAGTCTATCAGTTGCCAAAAGTATTATATTAGTTAGAACGTAATGGCTTTCATTTCCATTTAAAGTAGGAGAGGGGAGAAACTCACACACCTTTTCCAGCAGCAGTAATAGTTATTTTGTTGAGATATGGCAAAACTTGCAAAATTCTCCCATCTGGCCATTTATCTAGAAACTTGACAAAGGAAGACGGAAATCCACAGTTTGATTCCTGTGTCAAAAATTTCAGCATGTGCTAATCCTTACAAACAGTTTTTACAACCTATGCGTCATTACATTGAGTGGCAATTCCTGCTAGGCAATTAATTGCTTGACTTTCCTGACAAGGGGGCAAGGGTGGGGTAGAGGCAGGGTGCACTGGTGTCAGCTGGGGAAACTTCTGCAAACTCCCTCAATTCCAGCAATCAGCCCCCTTCCCAAATGGCAGGCCTGGGAAGCCAGCAAAAGCGTGTGTGTGTGTGTGTGTGTGTGTGTGTGTGTGTGTGTGAGAGAGAGAGAGAGAGAGAGAGAGAGAGAGAGAACTATAGAGAACCTAGACGTCTCCACAGCACCCTTGCCATAGGTAAGAATCACTTTTAATAACTAAAACCTTAAGACAACTACCAGAATCTGATATTCTTTCCCCAAGTTATCTTCGATTAGAACTGGCACTGAATGATCTTTTTAATCCCCTGCAGGTTGAAATCATTATCCTAACCAGCTGCAAAATCAAGAGGCAGAGAAGTGTACATCACACACACACACCCTACATTAATGCAGGGACAGGATAAAATTTTAAAGAGGCCAGTCATGGTGGCGCACACCTATAATCCCAGCAGCAACCCTGAGGCTGAGGCAGGAAGATCAAAAGCTTGAGGCCAGGGAATTTAGTGAGACCCTGTCTCAAAAGAAAAAATAAAAAGGGCAGAGGGTATAGTTCAGTGGTAGAACACCACTGGGTTCAATCCCAGAACTATTAAAATAAAAGGGTCTGGGGATGTAGCTTGGTGATAGCCTCTGAGTTCAGTCCCCAGTGCTGCAAATAATAATAATAATAATAATAATAATAATAATAATAATAATAATAATGTTTTAAAAAATTAGAGCAATATTTCTGTTGTTCAGTTTTTTTTTTTTTTAGGGCTGAGGACTGAAGTTCAGGTCTTGTGCATATGAGGCAAGTGTTTGCCACTGAACTAAATCCCCAAACTCCAGCAATTTTTTATTTTTATTTTGGTTCCGGGATTGAACTCAGGGGCACTCAATCTCTGAGCCACATCTCCAGCCCTATTTTGTATTTTATTTAGAGACAGGGTCCCACTAAGTTGCTTAGCACTTCACTGTTGCTGAGGCTGGCTCAAAATCCTCCTGTCTCAGCCTCCCATGCAGCTGGGATTCCAAGTGTGTGCCACTGCGCCCAGCTCCCGAGCAATTTTTAAAAGGTGAAAACATGATAAAGCAAGTGGTATTTCCAAACTTTAATGTGCATACAAATTACCTGTGCATGCTGTTTAAAACACAGGTCCTAAACCATCCAGATTTGGAGTGGAGCCTCAGCATCTACATTTTTAGCCAACTTCCAACACTTTGAGTAGCAAGGTGTGAAAATTTGACATAACTTTGGGTATAAATAAGGCACTTACGGTTGGGCCATTCCCTAAAGCTTGTCAATAGCTATTTAAATGCTTAATGTAGTCTATATTGACCTATTATGTGAAAAACAATAAACATGATGAATTCAGATTATGTAGCTATTCATCAATTATTTCCTTAGCTCCCACCATCTGCAAGGCAGGACTAAGGGCAATGGTGGTAACTGGAGTTTGTATTCTAGCTGATCTCTCTGTCTTCAATAAATTTTATTGATCAGCACCTGTGGGTGACATTGCTAGATACAATGAGTTTTTCTTTCTTAATAAAAGAAATCTTGTTTTACTTGGGGCATAATAGATCCAAGCAATGCATATTCTTTCCTAGCTCCTGCCTTGAAGCTGGATATGGCCAGGTGGACTGAGGAAAGCTATGCGGACAAAGGACATTTGCTTAGATGGGAAGTCTCTTTGTCCTCCATCCTATTCCCAGGCTTAATGCAGATATTACAGATATGAAACTTGGAGCCTTGAAGTGACACAAGGAGGAGTTATACACAAGAACATTGGGTTCTAAAGGTTTATTATTATTATTTTTGGCTTAGTCAAACTTTACTCAGGCTTCTGGCCCTTCTCTTAGGCCTATTTGTACACACAATTATAAAATCCAGTGCTAGCAAAAGAACCACACTAAAGCAGTTTAGCCAGAACCCCTCATCCTGGATGTCTGATCATGTGCATTATCTGATCTGATTCCTCACCCTCCTCCATCTCCCAGATGATGTCTGATCACCCTGGCTTGTCTTCAACAAGGATCCTGTTAGATGGGTTTAGCCAGAAGCCCCCTCACCCCTAATGCTTCATCTTAGTTGATTTTTCACCCACTGATCCTCACCTTGCTTCTTAATTATAAATTCCTACTTGCCAATGTTGAATTCAGAGTTCAGTCCAATCTCCTCCACTGCTAGGTGCGGTTATAGGGGTCCCTATACTAAACACATAATCCTGAACAGTGCTTTTGCAAGTATCAGTGAACATTATCTTTTAACAGTCTGGAAGACATACAGGTCTGGCTCCCTAACGACTAAAACTGGTTTCTTCCACTATTATTTTATAACATAACGATAAACAAAATCCCTAACTACAAGAGCTTAGATAACTAATAAAACATATTAAAGGTTCTTTCTGTAAAAAATTTATTTTTTCCTTATCATTTTAGGACTAGTCTTATTTTATAGAAAGAAAATTAGAAATGTGACTATGAATGGGTCAGAGTTGAGGCCACAGCTAGAATGTGGAAGTTGAACATTGATAAGGTGTAAGGAGGTTGAGGAAGGTAGAAGCCAATGTACAATGTTAAAACCACCCAAGATGACAGGAGCTGGGGAATAGATGACTGTGAGCAAGGTTCCATGATGAGAATAGGCATTTAGGGGCCCTGGAAGTGAGTGATAGAGTACTCACAAATGTTTTACTCTTAAAATCCTCAACTGCAAACCCTGTGTACTCCCATGAAGCAGGTGAAATAAGGTTATATAGGGGTGGACAATAGACACTAAGATGTGTCCAGGGAAAGTTGGCTACTGTTATGGTTAGGATCTGCAATGTTCCTAGAGGCTCCTATGTTGAAGATTTGGTCCCCAATGCAGTAATGTTCAGAAGTGGGACTTTGGGGAAGTGACTGGATCATGGGGCTGTGACCTCATCAATGGATTAATCCACTGATGGGCTCATAGCTGAATGGACTATTGAGAAGTGATAGAAATATAGGAAGTGAGACCTAGTTAAAGGGAGGTTCTTGGGGAGTCCTCACCCTTTTTTCTCTCTCTCTGCTTCCTGGCTGTCAGGAGGACAGCACCTTTCCTCCACCATACCCTTCTGCCAAGTTTCTGCCTTGCTATAGGATTAACAGCAATGAAGCCTGCTGATTATTGACCGAAACTCTGAATCCTCCCAAAATCTTTTCTCCTGTTTTCCACAAGTATATTGTCACAGCAATGAGAAGCTGATAGGCACCACCATCTCTGCTTCCTTTAGCTGTAAAATACAAAGATCAAAGTCCTCCGGAAATACAACCACAGGCAACCCCGCAGTCCTGCAATTTAAAATTACTACTTTTCACATTAAGAAAGGAAGGTATTTGGACAGGAATATTAGACTTTTGATACTTCTAAAAGAGCTGATTTTTCTCCACTCTATCCAGCTTTTAGCCTAAGATATCCACCTTATCACCACCACCACCACAAAAGGAAACTAGCTGGTTCCTTGCCAAATCAAAGCCAGGTGCTCAATATCTACCTGTTGAATGAATGAACGAACAAATCATTACATGACTCAAGTTGCAAAAAAACCTTTTCAATCAGTAATTTAAAATTTGGAAAAAAAATTTTTTGTTGTTTTACTGTTGATTACAGAACTTTCTATAGTTTGTTATTTTTTGGCAAATGGCAGCTTTCATGAGATTAGATTTTTTTTTTTTTTAACATCCTTTTGGAAGAAAACAGGTTTTAAAGGAAATAAGCTCAGTTCAAATCCAGTTGAACAGATGTGTAATTTTGCATTGTTCTTCTTCAGTGAATATTTCAACCTGAGCAAGTTATGAACATACTACTGCCATGGCTGTGGATGAAATGAAATGCTGCTGCTTTGTTCTCTGTGGAAGAGAATGTTCAAGAGAAGGAAATGTAAAAAGCAGCAGCAGAAGCAATAGTGGCTGATACTTAGTTGTGTGGCCTTGAAAATGATTCTGGACACATTTCAGCATTTATAACCAAAGACTGAGTTAGGGTATTTACCCTTCAGGAGGCATATCTTTGAAAATGTGATGAAATTTTATCAATATTCTCCTCCTCAAATTTATAGGCACATTTTGCATATAATTACAAGGGATTCAAAACCCCTGAAATTTTTCCACAACCTCTCCCTGCCTGCTATCTTTAGCATTGTGTTAAACACTAAGTTTTCTTTTTTAAAATATTTATTTTTTGTTTGTAACTGGACACATATCTTTATCTTATTTATTTATTTCTATGTGGTGCTGAGGATCCAATCCAGGGCCTCCCACGTGCTAGGCGAGCGAGCACTCTACCGCTGAGCCACAAACCCAGCCCAATTCTAAGTTTTTTTGAACTGATTATGTTCATGATTCTCTAACAGTTTAAAGAGGAAAATTACTTTGTTGTGTTTATGGTGCCTATGCTACAGTTTCCACTGTAGAACCAACTATATTCTAAGATTCCTGGTTGAAGCAAAAGATGTTTTTTGAGTTGTAACGTACTCTAAAACTTAACAAATATTTCTACAGGTAAAAATCTGACAGTAAAAGGTGCTATAATCTTAAAATTTGTGGGAGGCAATGGGTTTGAAGTGGGTACTTGACTTCAAGTCCCACAGACCAAACCAATAGAGTTTAATCACAGTAACCAAGTTTTGGTAATTGGAGGCCTTACAGTCAATCAACGGATTAAGTTATGATAAACAGGCCAATCAGTGGACTAACCTATAACTAATTATTTTTCATGTCCCACAACCATTTTCCTATTATTCCTGTCTGATCACGTTGCTTGGAATTCTCAGAACTTGCTCTAGTTTTGGGACCTGCCCAATCTGCTAATCACAAAAACGACTACACTTATTGGTCTAAATAATTTTCCTTTTAACAACAGTAATTATCCTGTGTGCTAACTTAAAATTAGTTTCAATAAATATTAAGGAGTACCATTACTTCTCAAAAAGCAGTTGAGACTTCTTTGGGGGAAATAAGGCAGGGTGAGGGACATTCTAGAAGCAACACTTTAAAACATGTGATATTGAAAATTGTATTAAAAGTTTCTTTTCCCTTTTTGCATGAGAGACTACTACTATTGCATTAACTGCCATAGAGTAAGATGCCAAAAGTCATGTTTAAGATAAAATGAGACTTCAAAGAAACATCCTTACTCATTATCTGTCCCATGTCAAAGAGACACTTTCCCATTCCTGGGATTCTAGTAGTGTTCTGGAGGATGTCATTACAGTAAATAGAAACTAAAGTCAAATAATTTGACTTTTTGTAACAGTAACATTAGTATCAACTCAAGGAAATGCTCTGTAACAGTGAATAGATTCGTTTGTTTATAGCATTTCAGTGTCTTGAGTGATTACAGGTGGAGTAGCCAAAGTTGGCAGAATACAGGCCCTTCCTGGCGCTGTCATGACAAAGCATCAAAGCGAAATCGTTCCCACAAGACCCAAACATGCATCACTTAAGATATGTACTGAGTTAAATAGGTATGGGCAATTCAGAACACCAAAGAAAACAAAAACATTAGGAAACAAAAGCCTCTAAGCACTGAAGGATTTATTACCATTCAAAGGGGGTGGGGTTGAAGATTAGAAATGGACTTACGCAAGATCCCCTGTCAAATGAACCTGCTATGGGAGTTAGAACTGTAGGATCTAACATTTACGCTAATGGGAGCTCGTGAGAAAGCTGCAATTCCCAACACATCCCTAAATCTCTACTTAAACCTTACGATTTAAAACCTCAAATGTAAAATGCTTTTGTAAAACGTTTGCCCTTAAACTGGAAACAGGTGGGAGAGGGAGGTGGTAACTGAAATAAACGTCAGATTTCCTTCTAGACTCTTCAACAACGATGACCGTGCCCTTCTCCCTCGAGTCATCTGTTCTTTGTACCCTTCAGGTGCGGGGTCATCCTCCCTCTCCAAGATGCGCCATAACGTTGGCCGATCTGACCCCGGGGTGAAGACGCGCGAACCAAGCTAGAAGGAAAGGTGTGCCGCGCGGCAGCACCCGGCCAGGGCCGGCAAGAACCCCGGAGGCCGACTTCTAGGGCCCCAAACTGAGTCCTGAACGCTCATGCCTGTGGTTACGACCCCGGCGCTGGCACCGCCGGCTCCGGGAACCGCGAAGCTCAAGTTCCACTTTCTCGTCCTGTAACGACCAAAAACCTTCTTCCACCGCTGCCTGCACAAAAACAAAACCTAACATCTTATCACTGCCCGTGAGGAAGCATCGAGATACCGATCAACACACAACACGCGATGCAAGTAGACCTCCCACCCACTAGGAACCGGCCCCGCCCCTTCCTGGGAGTGGCGGAAGTGAGGGGCTTGCGCAGGGTACGCCCCGTCCCTATTCCCCTAAGATAAGCCGGGTTCAAAGCTTCTTAGAATTGGCCTGCTTGCTCCTAATATTTTTTTATCCTTGAAATGAGAACATTAGCACATGGCATCCTCCTTTATTCGTCGCTTGGAAAGGTCACGTGATTTCTAAACACGTCCACGGATACAGGCGCTTAACAGGCACCCTACCATGTGACGTATAATTGGAGCGCCTGCGCAGGGAGGACCTCGCTTCGCTTCCGGTTCCGCCAGCTTTCTAACGCCGCGCAGGGTTCCCGGGAAAGGCACGTGCGCGGCTGAATGGAGCTGGTCGCCGGTAGCTATGAGCAAGTCCTTTTCGGGTTCACAGTACATCCGGACCCTCAGGCGAGTGGCGACAAAGAGGTGAGATTCGGCGAGTGGAGGGACTGCGGGAGGGGAGGCGGGGAAGGCCAGGTTCCCACACGGCCGAGGTAAACATGCCCGCGCTTCTGTTGATTGTCTGATGTTCACGGATGGAAGCTTGAATAAAAGCCCATCTTTTAAAACAAAATAGACATTTTGCAATATGAAATAGCATTTTCATATTATAGTAGATAAGATGGCTAAGGGAGAAAGTAAAAAAGTTGACTTCAAAGAAACCGACAGTGGTTACCAGAGGCTGGGAATGGGTAGGGAGGGTATCGGGGCGGTGCAGGGGTGCGATTGGGCGGGAGAAATGTCTTCCAATGTTTTTTGGTGTAGCAGGATAAATATAATTGACAACAATTGTGTACTTTAAAGCAACTAGTAGAGAGGATTTCGAATATTCCCAACACAAATACGTGATGCTTGATTTGGAGTATGCCATTTACCCTGATTTTATTACACAATGTATACAGTATTGAAGTGTCACACTAAATTTTCTAAATTTAAAATAAAGACAGTATCCACAAAGGAAGGAAGCTGGTGTTTCTGTACGTGGTGAGTTGTAGTTTGTAGATTTAAGTTGACAACCAATGTATGTATTCAGGATCCAGTGAAAGAATATTCTGCTCTTTCATGAAGTTTCTGTCCTGATATTTTAGAAAATGTTAGGTCTGTGGGCTGGGGTTGTGGCTCGAGGGCTCACAGCGCTTGCCTCCAATGTGTGAGCACCATATGTAAATAAAAAATAAAGGTCTATCAACATCTAAAATGAGTAAGTAAATGAAATTAAAAAAAAAAAGTTAGGGCTGGATCAGGATCAGCTCTTTGTAGATTTAAAAAAAAAAAGTAATACCAATTCCTTCATTTATTGGGTACTGTTATGCCAGATTCGTGGGACCCCAATAGACCTCCAGGAGCCAAATCCAATGCAAGCACACAAGAGTCTTTATTGCAAGCTGGAGCCTGGACTCTCAATCGTTCCCAACGCAGCGGTCCCAGGGAGTGAGTCCGCGTCCTTTGTTCAGTGAGATTTTATAGGTTTTGCGGGGATACTCTGTGCATCACAACATCACACAGCAAATCATTCCATACCACGGGAAAGTCAAACAACAACTCTTAACATTGATTAGCACATTCAATGGCAGGAACAATTTGGGTAGGGGTGATTGGTTAATACAAGAGAGGGATTCCTTTGAACTGATTGGTTTAGGCCATGAGGGGTGTACGTGCTAAACTATTAGTATGTGCTAAACTACATGGTTTCCCAACGTGTTATCAACCACTATAAACTACTTGGGGGTCATCTGGCATTCCAGGTATTTTCCCTGTCTCATGCTGATTGGAGGTTGCTAGGGGGGTTGCTATGGGTCCTCACCTAGCCTAACTGAGTTAGGGACACCTGGTGCCACGTATCTCTCCTGTTATTTACAAACAACTCAGCAGGGTGGGTATGTGCTTAGGAGTGCTCTGTGGGTTTTTCCAAGGACAAGGGTCACACCCCCTTCCTTAGGACAGTCCTTGAGGTAGAAGCTGCTGTTATTTTTTCATTTTTAAAAATGGAGTCACGTTAGTTTCTCAGTACTTAATGTAGGTAAGGAGGCAGTTGAAAAGAAGCCAGAGGTCCAGATCCTGCTTTAGGGACCTTCCTGACAAGGAATGATAGAGGAGGGAGACAAATACATGGAGAGAAATTGTAGCAGATATATTTTAATAGATGTAGGAATATAGAATTGCTAACACAGTAGTCAAACAGGTAGATAGGACTATGCCTGGGACTAGAAATCTGATGTCCTAACTTCTAGTTCAGAACTATTTTATTCCTGATGCAATTCCGGGTATCTCCTGGAACCCGTATCACCAAGTACTTCTTTCCTGTGTTTTCTTTGTAGTAAAATTTTTTACTATGTTCCAAATACACAATAGTCCTCACAGCAACCCTCAGAGGCAGATAGAGTCATTCTCATTTTAAGATGAGGAAAGGGAAAGTTCCTTAGGGATAGGTTAAGTGACTACTCAGGGCTACTAGTATGGCAGAGTTGACACAAAATGTCAGGGACCTCTATATGTATGATCCTGCATCAATCCCCTAACCATTGGCCATTAATGATTCTAAATCTAGATAGTAGCCTATATAACTAGTATAATTTGTGTGATGCAAATAAATAAAGGTTATTTGATTTAAAGCCATAGTAGCTCCTCCTGGAGCAGAAAAAGCCCCTTTGCCTTGACTCATGGAAGGAGTATCTGTTCCTATAGGTCTTTAGGACTGATTTTGCAGTAATACATCTTAATCATGTACAAAGAAGTTTGGTGGCTTCCCCCCTCCCCCTTTGATTTGTTTTGCTAATAACCTTTTTTTCCACCCCTGATGTGACTCCTTTAATTTAAGAAGCGTGTGTATTCTATCATTCTTTGACTCAACCAGCCACACTTCTCAACCCAACACATACATGGCAGGAGGCAATAAGTTCCTGAGACCTCATCACTGGCGATTCTCTAGGGCTTAGGCTGGTATTAATGGAAACGTCCTCATAATGTTTTTCTCTTAACGTGTTTACGTCTCTCCCACTGAGGTGGAAGCTCTTTAGTGTAGGGACTTTTGTTCACTGCTAAGTTAACTACCTAAAGTAGTACCAAGCATATGGTAGATAATCATTATTTGAATAAATAAGTTCAAATAAAATTTTAAATATTTGAATAAATGAGTCATATGGAAGGCTCACGTGTAGATATAATAAGAGTTTAAGATTTGGGTGGTATTTTAAAGTACCCAGTCCTGTCACCATTATTGGGTTCTGGAGTCGTAGTACTCAGTATTGCTTCTCACCTCCTTGTATTCCTTATTCACTTCTCAGGATCTTTGTTTTAATCCACGTCATTGTGTAATTTTTCTCCATTTGTAGGATCCATTGGTAGTTTTTATGGATGGAGGAACCTGTATTTCTAGAGAACTGTGATGTGACTAGTATTGATCTCCTGTTTTACTCAGCAGCAGCAATGGACTCCTGTGGCTGACTTCACTCATCATGCTCACACGGCCTCCTTGTCAGCAGTGGCTGTGAATAGTCGTTTTGTTGTCACTGGGAGCAAAGATGAAACAATTCACATTTATGATATGAAAAAGAAGATAGAACATGGAGCCTTAGTACATCACAATGGTGAGAAGTTGTATCCTTTAAGATAATGTGGAGGTTTTATTACTGTATAGACTTCTGTTGGACTGTTTGTTATGTGTCAGCAGATTCTGTTCTAGGAGATACAGAATTGGGATCAAAAAGGTTGCTCACAGTCCTATTGGAGTAGGTTACAGTTGTCCTATTGGGAGGTAGATGGTCTCTTCTGTATTTTAGTCCTGTACACCTAGAGCACCACACTGTTCCCATTGACTGTTGTAGGTGTATGAAACTAAAATAGAGGAGGCAGACTTCCCTGCACTGGAGTTGAGGTTAAGGATTAGTACTTAACCATTCGTGGTTGGATTTACCACACCGACTGAAGATGCCTGGGAGAGTGGCAAGATCAGAGGGTAGAGAGACTGAATAGGTAAATTTTTTTTCCCTCAGTTCCAAACATTTTATGTTGTAGTCACTGAGTTTTCCAGGGGAAAAAGATAAGGGACTTATTGTGTGTTCAGGAGGGAAAAGTAAAGGTGAAACTCAAAATATTAGAATTGATTAGCTACATATTAGTTTGGGGAAACTCAGCCAATGAGGTTGGTTTCCTGCAAAGAAATATAGAATGTGTTCCCCTTTTCCTCACCTCACTTTGATATATTTCAGAGGTCACTGGCCATTGATTTTTTGCACTTAATTTGGAGTGATAAATGTTTGCCTTCTTCACATTCCTCACCCTTTGACAGGTGTCATGCTCCTCAACAGAAGCTAGGGTTTGAGTGATTTCAACATAAATTCCTTTTTCCTTGTGTCTCCCAATCCCAGTTCATACAAGGAAGGCTTCTTTCTTAGGCTTAGAAGAAATATGCTAAACAAATCTGATCTGTTCAAATCAATATTCAGAATAAAAAAAAGATTTACTTGCAGTTAGATGGGGGAGGAATGAAGTAGGATTCCTGGTTTCCTCTCTTCCTTGCATAATTCCTGGAAACTCCTTTTTCTAACATTTAGTATTAGATAAGCTCTTTTCTAGGGAGCATATGAGTCATGGGCAGAAGGAGCAGAAGATGTGGGAGAGCAGCATTTCCAAAGAAGAAATAGCATGACAGGGAGAGAGGAAAGTGGTTAATGGCTTCTACTTTTAGAAGAAGGTGTACATGAACCCACATATTAGTGCTTCTGTCACGTGCAAAATTATTCATTGGAGGTCTCTGGTTCTTTTCAATATAAAGTGTATAAAGAATTGACCGGCAGGTATATAGATGGGAAATGTGACCCACAGGTTTTCATTTGAATTCTGTAAAGAACCGTATAGTAAATATTTGTGGACCATACAGCTTGTGTTGCTGCTGTGCAGAAGCAGTCCCATATGCTCTAACTGAATGAACTGGGGCTGTTTTCTAATAAAATTACATTTGCAGAGCCAGAATACCGGCCACAGTTGGCGTACAGGCAGTAAGTTTTTGACCCTTGAGCTATAGAGAGCAGTAGAGTAAGGTGAGGTGACACAAATGTCAAAGGAATAGAGGATTTTACTTGAGGGTAAAGCTGTAATGATATGGACTACTTTGGGACTAGAATTTGATGTAACATGTGCATACGATTTCTGGAATTTAAAAGATGTTGGAAATGTGTGGGAGATCCAGGCTTCAGTTTTGGTGGAGGGAAGGAAGTATTGTTAACAGATTGAAATGGTGATGGAAAATTTATTTACCCTGGGAAGGAGTTTCCAGAGGAATAGCTGGAAAATGATCTTTTTATAAAATTGTTCTAAAATATTCTCATGGCAGTGAATGAACAGAGTATAAAGTCAAATCATGATAATTCTAGGTCAATAATGATTGAATTATAGCTGATATAGATAACTCGTTATTTAGAAAGTGCGAATCATGGCTGTAAATTTTTTTCTTTGTTCTTTCCTCTAAATTAGCTGGTTAGGCAGTTGGTTTTGTTTTATTTCTGCTAAAATTATCCTGGCTAGCCATCTGGCTATGATATGATTATGGAGACAAAGTAAGAAAATGAACCAGTCCAGTTAGCTTAAATCTGTAACTAAAGCTGAAAGAATCTCAGGTTATTTGCATAGACTTAAAACTGTATGTCCTTGAGCTGGGGTGTTTTCTCAGTGGTAGAATGCTTGCTTGGCACGAGTAAGGCCTTGGGTTCAATCCCTAGCACTAGGAAAACCAAAACAAGCCAACAAACAAAGAAACTGTATTTTCTGGTATGAAACAATTGAACTATTTCATCTAACACTTGAAGATTATTACTAATACTTCAAGTATTACTTAACTAAGTTTAGATAAGATGAAGTTTACTTTATAATACTAGGACATTGTATGGTTCTCCCCGCCCCTGTTAGGTAAGCACTTACATTTACCTACATCCCCAGCCCAGTGTAGTACTTAACTGGAAATAAAGTTTGTATTAAAAATGAAGATAATTTTGCCCATCTTGGTTTTTCGACAGGTACAATAACTTGCCTGAAATTCTATGGCAGCAGGCACTTAATCAGTGGAGCAGAAGATGGACTCATTTGTGTCTGGGATGCAAAGAAATGGGAATGCCTCAAGTCGATCAGAGCTCACAAGTGAGTTGGCTCTTTTCCATTGGCATTCTCACTATGCCAGTCAAGTTGGGGCCTAACTTGTTGGTTTCATTTTAGAGGACATGTGACCTTCCTTTCTATTCATCCATCTGGCAAGTTGGCCCTGTCTGTTGGTACAGATAAGACATTAAGGTAAGTAATTCTCAAAAGCATCTTTATGTAACTTTTACTATGTCAGTTGGCTGTTGTTTCTGTATTGTTCCACAGTTTCACCCATTAAAAGATATTGAGATACAAAGAAAAGGTAGAAAGTTAGCGAACTGTTTCATGATAATGGGATAAAAATGGTCCATATTAAAACATGCTGTTATGCTTCAGTTGTCAATAGCTGTGAAGTGAAGAGCAAGGTGCTCCCAAAGAGGAATGTTTGTGGAGGTGAAACCTTTTGAAAATAACAATTGATATGAAATAGTAAACAGCTATGAGAATGGAATGAACTTTAATCCTGCTTGATAATAAAAAATTGAAGATGTTGCTAAACTAAAGAAGGCAGGCCCTTTAAATTGCCAGTATTTAATAAATTTGATCAAAGCTTTATCATGCTTATGCTTTTCCATTTAGTATGTTAATTGATATTCATACCATAAGCAAGTTTCTTATTTTGCAGAACTTGGAATCTTGTGGAGGGAAGATCAGCCTTCATAAAAAATATAAAACAAAGTGAGTATTTTTGTTTGAAATATATTTTACAGTTACTTGATAGGTATGAACACATGCGCATGTGTATACATTTATATCCTGCATTATTATAGTTGCCTCTGAAAACAAATGTTTTAGGTTACTTCTACCATTTTAGATCTGAGTTCTTGTAGCTCTGTCATGCACCAGCTGTATTATCTCAATAATTCTTTGAATTCACTTCATTGTCTAAAATTTAACTTTCACAATGTATTCCTTAAGTTTCTTGGGAAGATCAAAAAGGAAAATGAGTGTGAAAATACAGTGCAAATACTTAATATTTTTACTATTTCTCATTATTTTTAAAATAAGTAAATTTGGCTTCTTTAACTTACAGATGCTCACATAGTAGAATGGTCCCCAAGGGGAGAGAAATATGTAGTTGTTATACTGAATAAAATAGACGTCTATCAGCTTGACACTGCATCCATTAGTGGCACCATCACAAATGAAAAAAGGATTTCTTCTGTTACCTTTCTTTCAGTAAGTTATCAGAAATCAGTGATGGAAGTTTATGGAGATGGTCAGAACTGCTTATGACTTTCTGGATATTATTTTCTGTCCTAGGACTCTGTCCTTGCAGTGGCTGGAGATGAAGAGGTTGTCAGATTTTTTGACTGTGATTCACTAGTGTGCCTTTGTGAATTTAAAGCACATGAAAACAGGTATTTTTTTCCCCCAACCTGTGTGTATATGTGTAGTCTCAGTAAATGTTATACATGGAATCATTTTATGAAGCAGAATGTTTCTATGAACAACCACAGAGATAATCAGACATATGTATATACAATTTCTGGAGTTTAAAAAGATAGTGGAAAATGTTATCTTCCTGGATTTTGTAATGCAAAAGTGGAGAAGTTGTGATCAAAACTAGTCATTTGCACTTATTTCAGATAAGTCTGTTAGACTTGGAGCCTGAAATAAGCATATTTGAAAAATCATAAACTAAGTAGTCTTAAACTTTGTCCCTGGCCACTCTTGTCCTTTTACTTAGTCCCCCTTGTCCAATTTCTCCTTTCCATGCTATATTTTTCTCCTAAAGGAAAAAATGAAATACTATCATTGAATTCTATCTCTTAATGCAATAGATATTGAGTCTCAGAGTAAGTAGTTCATTAACTTGCCGAGATTACTCCAGAGGTAAGGAGCTAGTCCAAACCCAGTTCATCTGACTTGTGTCCCTGCTTTTTCCACTGTAATTTTGAAAAATTGATGATAAAAGTGAAAAGGTGACAATGGTTATATATTAATGTGGTCCATCTGCATTTCTGCATGTTCTTCTACTTCTCAAGTTTTAATTCTCATTTTTGATTGTTTTTAGAAATCCATCTTAGTACTCAGAGTCCTGCAGTCAATGTATAGGCCTTACTTTTTCCCTGTACTGGAAATAAATCACATTCAAGGAAGCCATTTCAAATGTATTTCTAAAAGAATATTTAGTCATTTGTTTGTTCATTTGTTTCCACAAGTATTCATTGAACATCCAATTTGTAGTACTGTACTAGGATTGTTTTGTTTGTTTTTTTGTGGTGCTTGAGGTGGAAACAAGGGTTTCATGCATGTTAGGCAAGCACTCTACCACTGAGTTATAGCTCAGTTCTGCACTAGGTATTTAAAAATGAACAAAAATGACAAGACCTTACACTCTTATGGCTTTTCTATTGTATGAGGCAATAGGTTTCAAACAAGTAGATCTTTATAACAAGGGTAATTTACTTAGATAGGCTGATGAGGGGAGAATTTCAAGGGTTAAATAAGTCCTTAAGGATTATAAAAGAGTGAGATGTTTTTGTTTTTTGTTTATTTTCTCCATGGTCCTGAGAATGGAACCCAGGGCCTCATGCATACTGATGCTAAGATATACTCCCCAGCTCCAAGGAACTGAGGGAGGAAAGAACTTAATGTATTTTAGGAACAAGTAGAAGACCTGCATGACTCCATCAGAGTGAGCAAGGAAGAGGATTTTGGGGATCAAATGGTGCTTGGGTTCATTGGTAGAGTGAGGAATTTGAATTTTATGCTGTGTCTTTGCAGATTTTATTCTGTTTACTTTGTGGGGGGGTGTGGAGTGCTGGGGATCAAACCCAGGGCCTCTTGCATGTGAGGCAGGCAAGTGTTCAGTCACTGGGCTATTTTGCAGCCCGTTTTGTGTACTTCTTAAGGAAAATTAAAGGCAAACAAACTAGTTTATAAAGAGCCAACTCATAGACCCACTACCAGCTTTAGCAGTTGCCACTTTAGGGCCTGTATGGCTTCTTTCATATCACCAGCTACTTCCTCCTCTCCCATATTCTTCTAAAGCAGATTTTAGTTTGGGGGGGCTTTAAGCCTGAGAGTAATAAGATTTGATTTCATTAAAAGAAAAAATAATAAAGAAAACTTAGGGGGAAGAAATGGAAGCAGAAAGGCCAAATAGGTGACCTCCATAATGTAGAAGAAAAAAGCAATTTGGAAGTAGTGGCACTGGAGATGAAGGAATTGGGTGCATCAAAGGGAACCTTGATCATCCTTCCTATTGTCTCCTCACTGCACTTCTCAGAGGTGCTTGAGGTGAGGGTTTTGTTATCATTACTTCCTGAGATTGTTTACAGTTATCATCATTTTGATTTATTCTTTTTTTTTTTTAATATTTATTTTTTAGTTTTCGGTGGACACAACATCTTTATTTTATTTTTTTATGGGGTTCTGAGGATTGAACCCAGCACCCTGCACATGCCAGGCAAGCACACTACCGCTTGAGCCACATCCCCAGCCCTTGGTTTATTCTTAATCAAAAAGTCCATTTTAGCCTATAGTTGGCCTGAAAACAACTCACTGACCAGAGGGAATGTGTGGCAAAATTACATTTTAGGGCTTCATTGAGCAGTTTGCAAATACTGAAGCATTGGAAAAAAAGAGACTAGCTTATAAGTTTTATAATGATGATCACACTCTGGAGAAAAGATCTTTTATGGCATTAATATTTCTATCCTAGGGTAAAAGACATTTTCAGTTTTGAAATTCCAGAGCATCATGTTCTTGTTACAGCATCAAGTGATGGTTTCATCAAAATGTGGAAGCTAAAGCAAGATAAGGTCAGTATCTTAGTACAACAGAACAAAAATACACTGTAATGCAAGTCTTGCTGCTAGTGTCATTTTAAGTTGAGCGGGGTGGAATTTTTTAAAGGCTAAAGACCATAGATGTAAATTTTATAAATTTCTTCCAGAAATGATTGATATTTATACTTTTAGAGTTAGGTTCCCACAGAGCTGCCTTAGGGCTGGCATTTGTGAATCTGAGCTCAGGATCTCAGACCTCCCTCTGCATTCCATCTACTTGGTCTTTTTTTTTTTTTTTTAATGTATTAGGGTCCTCTGTAAGGTATTAGGTGGGAGGACTACCACTACTGAAAACAATTGGGAAGGTTTTAGTCTATTATGGAACTAACAATAGCTTAGAACCAAATAACTAAAAAATTCAATTTCCTTCTGTAGATCTAGTTTATTATTTTTCATTCTTTGATATCTATTCTGTGGATATGGTTTATCAAGTGTGAGCACTGTGCAAGCCTGTTAAATCTAGAAATGAATAAGACATAGTCTATTTCCTTAGAATCTGTAATTTCTGGATACTTCTCAGAAATTGGCTCTGTGAACAACAGAGTTGAACCAATCATGAATCAAAACAATAGATTATTTCTAAATAGCATGTTTTATGCTCAAGAAAATACTGGCATGCATCTTGTAATGGTGGGGTTATATTCCACAAAGTGCGTTGTAGATGATTTTAGCATTTTGTGAACATCGTGGAGTATATACAAACCTGAACGGTAGAGCCAACCCCAGAGCTAGGCCCTGTGGCATGTACCATTGTATATGTAGTGTGTTATTGATTGAAACCTTGTTTTGCTGTGTATGATTGTACAATAAATTTTAAATTAAGGTAACTTGGTTCTTTAAAATAATTATTCAGAATTCCTCTGTTAGATATGAGTTTCCCCCCCTTCTGTTTTAGAAAGATCCCCCATCTTTACTCTGTGGAGTGAACACAAATGCCAGGCTGACGTGTCTTGGAGTATGGTTAGACAGAGGAACAGACACAAAAGAGAGGCCTCCTCTAGCAGCAGAGCCTTCTTCTGGTAAGTGAAATTGGTCATTTAAAAAATTCAAATTCTGTTACCTTTTGAATTGTTGAAGTGGCGGATATCCACACAATGTCACTTTATTGTGAGCCTGTTTAATTCATTAATAAACGGGGAAAACAGTCTAAATGTGCTGTCTCTTGTGTTTTAGTTAATACAGAACAGTCCAGGATCAGCAAAAAGGACTCTGACGTGGTGCAGCAAGAAGACACATTAAAACCTAACTCAAAGAAATGTGTTTTAAGTGGTGACAGTAATAAGCCAGTGAAAGGAAATAGCCTGTCAGCCGGGAAAAGGAAGATGGTAGAAATGCAAGAAAAGAAGAAGAGAAAAAAGAAAATATAACTGATGCACTGAATCCCAGATTGATTGATTCCCAAAAGAACTCCTTTTTTTAATGGACTCATCTTTTAAATATATCTAAATATTATTTTTTTCTGAGTAAAGGCAAGGAATTTCTTTTTCTGGAGAAAATGTACAGCTTGGAAAACCACTTTTAGGTGTTTTTTTTTAATGTGCTAAAATTATTTTTGGCACCTTTGGCCTACATGTTATTAATTATATAGAGAGGTATATATGTTAATTATAATATGTAATTTTTATTGTGTATAAAATAAAGATCTTTCCCCAAATATGGCAATTTAAAATAATGTGAAATCTTGAACATAGTGTTGGAGATCCAATCCAGGGCCTTGAATATGTTAGGCAAGCACTCACTGTACCTCTTAAGCTGCTGCACCCCCAGTCATCTGAACACATTCTTTACTAGAGATAAATAAAGATTATTTTTCAAACTATTCTTCCAAGCAGTGAATGGCAAGAAAATTTAAGGGCAGGAAAATGACATTTCCCATAATTTTTGCATCCCTTTCAGGTATCAAACTTGACTTGGCTAATCTAACCAAAGTGGTCTTAGAAAACTAAATGTGCGGTTTACTGTCAGATTCTAAGGCACTGATTTATTTCAGTCCAGCTCCAGTGTCACATTAGTCTTGGTTACTTTAACTTTGTAGTAAACTTTGGAATCCAGGAGTGTGATTCCTGCAACTTTGTTTTTGAAAATTATTTTGTGCCTATTTCATCCATTGGATTTCTGTAGGGCTTTTGAGATCACCTGGTCATTTCTGTAAACAATCTTGATAGCATTTCAAAAGGAATTGTATTCAATCTATAGATCAAATTTGGGCATATTGCATGTCAAAACCTGGCCAAAGGATATCATTTATTTAAGTCTTCCTTGTTATCTTTCAAGAATGATTTCAGCTTCTAAGTTTTGTATTTTTGTTAAACTCTTTTTTTTATGCTATTGCAAATTGAATCTTTATTGTGATTTCATTTTCAGATCATTTGTGCTAGTTGTCTCATTTTAATATGCTGTATTTTCATTTAGTTCAATGTATTTTTTTCTGTTGAATTTTTCTCTATGATGCATAGATTATTTTAAAGTTCTCAATTTCCTGTTATTTTTCTGTTTATTGATTTAATTTGATTCTATTGTGGTTTGAGAACATACTTGATATGACTGCAGTTCTTTTAAATTGGTTTCATGGCCCAGGATGTTATCTGTCATGGTAGATATTTTGAACCTGTATCCTGCTGTTGTTGGCCAAAGTGTTCTATAATGTCATGAGATCGTACTGTTGATGGGGTTAGGTTTTTCTATGTCCTTGATGATTTTCTGTCTATTTGTTCTGTCATTACGAAGGGAGGCGTGTCAATGACTCCAACTTTAGCAGTTGTGGATTTGCTGATTTCTTCTGCCAAGTTCCACTGGTTTTTGCTTCACATTTTGTGCATGTCTACTGGGATACATAGCACATTTAGAATTTTTACTGTGTTGGCGTTTTGATTCTTTTTTCATTATGTAATATCACTGTCTGATATTTCTTGGCTCTCATGTCTACTTCAGCTGATATTTTCCAAACTTTACTTTCAGCTGGCCTATACTTTTACATCTGAAGTTTCATAGGCAGCAAATAGTTGTCTCCCTCTGCCCACTTCCCTTTTGGAGAAATGGTTTTGGTGTTATCCAGGCTGACCTTGAACTCCTGGGCTTGAATGATTTCTCTTGCCTCATACTCCTGAGTAGCTGGGACTGTAGTTGTATGCCACCACACCCAGTTTGAGTCATTTATTAATGCATTTTGATAGTATGCCTTTTAATTGTTATATTTTTACCATTTATATTTGTGTTATTAATAATGTGTTTAGACTTAAGACTGCCATTTTAATTTTGTTCTTTTTTTTTTTTTTAAATTGACTGCGCCCCCACACACCCAGCCTGCACCACCCCAACTGGGGATTATACCCAGGAACACTCTTCCACTGAGTCATATCTGCAGTCTTTTTTTATTTTGTTTTGAGGCACAGTTGCTGAGTTGAGCAGAGGCTGGCCTCCAGCTTGTGATAACTCCTGCCTCCACATCTGATGGGATTACAGATGTGTACCACTGTACCTGGCCTTTTCTCTGTTTTTACTTTCCAGTAAGTTACTTGAGCAATTTTTAGAATTCCATTCTTGTTTATCAATATGGGAGGTTTTTGGTGGGGGGTGCTGGGTACTAATTGAACCCAGGGTCTTGTGTATGCTAAGCATGTACTCTGCCACTCAGCTACCTCCTTACCCAGTACCCAATGTGGTATTGAGTATATCTCATTTTAGAGTTTTTTGTCCCCCTAACACGGATAGTACACAGCTAACTTATCACAGTATATTAGTGTTATCATTTTATCAGTTGAGTATAAAAACGTTGCCTCTTTTTTAAAAATTATTATTAGTTGTTCAAAACATTACAAAGCTCTTGACATCATATTTCATATATTTGATTCAATTGGATTATGAACTCCCATTTTTACCCCGTATACAGATTGCAGAATCACATCGGTTACACATCCACGTTTTTACATACTGGCATACTAGTGTATGTTGTATTCTGCTGCCCTTCCTATCCTCTACTATCCTCCCTCCCCTCCCCTCCCATCTTCTCTCTCTACCCCATCTACTGTAATTCATTTCTCTCATTTTTTTTTCCTTTCCCCTCACTTCCTCTTATATGTAATTTTGTATAACAATGAGGTTCTCCTTCCATTTCCATGCAGTTTCCCTTCTCCCTTTCCCTCCCACCTCTCGTCCCTGTTTAAAGGTAATCTTCTTCTCATGCTCTTCCTCCCTGCTCTGTTCTTAGTTGCCCTCCTTATATCAGGGAAAACATTTGGCATTTGTTTTTTAGGGATTGGCTAGCTTCACTTAGCATAATCTGCTCTAGTGCCATCCATTTCCCTGCAAATGCCATGATTTTGTCATTTTTTAGTGCTGAGTAATACTCCATTGTGTATAAATGTCACATTTTTTTAATCCATTCATCTATTGAAGGGCATCTAGGTTGGTTCCACAGTCTAGCTATTGTGAATGGTGCTGCTATGAACATCGATGTAGCTGTATCCCTATAATAAGCTCTTTTAAGGTCTTTGGGGAATAGTCCGAGAAAGGGAATAGCTGGGTCAAATGGTGGTTCCATTCCCAGCTTTCCGAGGAATCTCCATACTGCTTTCCAAATTGGCCGCACCCATTTGCAGTCCCACCAGCAATGTACAAGTGTACCCTTTTCCCCACATCCTCGCCAGCACTTGTTGTTTGACTTCATAATGGCTGCCATTCTTACTGGAGTGAGATGGTATCTTAGGGTGGTTTTAATTTGCATTTCTCTGACTGCTAGAGATGGTGAGCATTTTTTCGTGTACTTGTTGATTGATTGAATGTCCTCCTCTGAAAAGTGTCTGTTCAGGTCCTTGGCCCATTTGTTGATTGGGTTATTTGTTTCCTTATTGTTTAATTTTTTGAGTTCTTTGTATACTCTGGATATTAGGGCGTTGCCTCCTTTTATACCCTGTATGTTACTCGTAAATTGTCTTAAACGTTTAGAATTGCATTAGTGCCATAATTTTGCTTTTAAAAAGCTCGAGAGGAGAAGGAAGACCTGTTGTACTTACACGATTTTAGCATGTTCTTCCTTCCTGATGTTCCAAGATGCCTTCTTTTGTCACTTCGTATTTGGAGAACTCCCTTTAGCCATCCTTAGGGTAAGTCAGCTGATGTGAAATTGCCTTAATTTTCCTTTATCTAAGTATGCTTTGATTTCCTTTTATTACTGGAGACATTTTTGCTGCATGTAGTATTCTGAGTTGACAGTTCTTAAGCTGTTCCCTCTTGCCTTCATGGTTTCTGATGAAAAAAAAATCATTTTAATTGTTTTTCTTCTGTGTTTTCCTCCTATTGCTGCTTTCAAGGTCTTTCCCTTGTCTTTAATTTTCAAAAGTTTAATTAATTGGTGTTTTGCTCTGGATTTCTTTGGATTTACTTCTTTTGTATTTTTTTTAAGACAAGGTCTCACTATGTTGCCTAGGCTGGTCTCAAACTTGGGAGATAAGCGATTTTCCTGCTTCAGCCTCTTAGGTAATTGGGACTGTAGGTGTGCACCATGCCCCTTTTATCCTTTAACCAGTTTTGCTCATCTTCTTAGATCCATAGATTTGTGTCTCTTGCCAAATTTGGGAGGTTTTTAGGCATTGGTTTAAGTACCTTTTCTACTCTGCCTTTGTTCTTTTGGGGACATTGACATAATAAATAGACCTTTCCTTGTGGTCCCTCAGGTTCTTAAGACTCTGCTCATGTTTTTCCCCCAGGCTCTCTTTTCTGTGTTGTTCAGATTGGGTGATTTCTGTTGTTCTGTTTTCTCTATTGCTGATTCTGTTCTTTGTAACCCCCCCCCCCTTACTGTTATTGAGCCCATCCAATGAGATTTTTATTTTGGTTATTGTATTTTTCAATTTTAAAATTTCTACATGGTTCTGTTTCTTTGCTAAGACTTTGTATTTCTCTGCTGATGTGTCTGTTATTACTGTTGTTTCGAGCATGCTCGTAATTGCTTGTTGATGTATTTATCATGGCTGCTTTGAAGTCTTTGTGAAATGATAGTATGTGGTTTTCACATTGGTATCTGTTGATCGTCTTTGGTTCTAGGCATATTGAGTGATTTCTGTGGGAACCTGGACATTTTTTAATTGTGTTTTATATATCTTATTTAAACTTTTTGTGTTAATTGATTTCCTCTGACATTGCTTAGGAAGGAGAAGAGACATACTGCCAGCTGCAGGTGGAAGTGAACCTTTTGGTGACAGCTGAGCTTTCTTCTCTAACCTTCACTGCCCCCTGGAGGTAGAGAGATTCCTCACTTAGTTCTGATTGGGGCTTGGGGCTTGGGCTTCACTTTGGTTTCTACTGATACCACAGTCATGAGGGGGTCTTGATATCAGTTACTGGGAATGGAAGGATGAACCAGCTCTCTGCTTGGTCTTCTGACACAAGCAGGAGTGTTAACAGGCAGGCACCTGTTGACATGCGTGGGTAGAAGTCTAGAGCCTCCCCTCCCCGCCCCACACACCCACCTTTGCTAGAAGTTGATGTTGATCCATGAACTCTTTGTTAATTGAAATGCCTAGATCTACAGGGTGGAGATAGGTAGTGTGTTCGTTGCTGCTTTAACAAAATACTTGAGACCTCATAATTCCAGCCCCCCAATCCCATGCTGGGGATTGAACCCTGCTGAGTAATTTTTAAAGAACAGAAATTGGCCAAATCTGTTGATTCTGGAGTCCCGGAGGTCCAAGAGCATGACAGTGAGGTGCTCATGCTGCCTCTTGGTAGAAAGCAGGAAGCCAGTGTGTGCGCTGAGGAAAACCAGGAGGCTGCCTTGCTTTAAAGTAGCCCACCCTTGAGGTAACTAACCCAGGTCAGAGAGT